TCAATAAGGTGTTCAAATCGTTTTGAACCTTTTCTTTCTATTCTGTCAATGACCGTTTCTGTAGCACGCTGTAGCGTACATGTTATTTCTTATAGATTCGTTGGTCTTCCTTTCCTGCCTTGATCTTCTGGCACTTTTTTTTGAAATAATCCATTTCAACTGCCAACAATTTTCCCTTTAGGTCTGTATTAATTGTCCATACTTCAGAGCTATAACAAATAAACTGATTCAACCATGGTTTGCCCTATTTTTTTTTGTTCTTTCTGGAAATGTTACTATCCCACCACAAGGAGTTCAGACATCCACAATTTTACGTCCCTGATTAATTCGGTGTTTAATTTCGGTTTCTTCCAACCCGTTCTTAGCAATGAGTGCACCTAAATCTTTAATTTTCCACTTGTTTGATTTCCACATCCTCGTCTATCAGCACTTTAAACCTTGCATCTGAATTTATAACTAAATGTACTGTTTTCTTCACGTTGACTTGTAACCCCTATTTTAAATATTCTCTGTATAGACACTTTATCGTAAATTTTAGATCATAAGAATCTTGAGCTAGGACGACTTGGTTATCCGCAAAGTTTAGGGAGAACAGTACGTTATTTCCTATGGCAATTGCGTCAAATAGCGGGTGTGTCCCCGGATTTTTGAAAAATGGAAAAGGGCAATATCGGTCGGTGATTCGATTCTTGTTTTCGAACAGGAAATCGCGAGGCAAAATCAAAAAGTGCTTCACTGTGGTGGACGGTCGATTTTTGATAATTACTGACAATAACGTGACAAACATCCACGATTTCGTATTGGCACACCGACGACTGAATGTGCGCGCTATAGCTGAGACAGTACACTTTTTAAAAGATTGCATATGTCATATCCTGCATGAAATTTTAGACATAAGAAAGCTGTCAGTGCAATAAGTGCCATATGTGCTAACTCCAAACAACAAACGCAACCGTGAAACTACTTTAGAGTCTATACTTTTACTCCGTGGCGTTACAACCCTTCGTGGGTTTTAGCCGACTCGACAACATGCCTCCACTGTTTTCTGTCTTGAGCAACCTCCATCCAATTCTCCACGCCCATAGTGCTTAGGTCTCCTGCTATATTATCTCGCCACCGGAGACGAGGGCGTCCGCGTGGTCTCCTTCCAGTTGGGACTTCCTGCCACACCAGTCTTACTGTTCGTTCGTCAGAATGTCTTCTGAGGTGTCCTGCCCATTGGAGTCTTCTGGACTTTATTTCTTTTATGATGTTGGCGTCTGGGTAAAGTTCTTCAAGCTCTTTATTAGTTCTTATCCTATATTGTCCTGATGTTTCATCAAGCACCGGACCAAAGATCTTCCTTAGGATTTTTCTTTCCCAAACACGTAGTCTCTCTTCATTTGCCTTTGTCATCGTCCACGTTTCGCTTCCATACATCACAACGGGTCGTATGATTGTTTTATAGACCTGTATCTTCGTACGTCGTGTTAGTTGTTTTGATTTTATAAGGTTTTGGAGGGCAAAAATACATCTGTTGCCGGCCTGAATCCTGTTGTTTATTTCTTGTGATCCGTTATTGTCTTCAGTTATTGTTGTTCCAAGATACTTGAATTCCCTAACGCGCTCAAAGTTAAAGTCATCGATGGTAATGTTCTAATTACTTTAGAGTCTAGTTATCTATCTAATCAGCCTTAAACGCCCACTCTTGGGCATAGGCCTCCCCTATTAATCTCCATTGGTCTCTATTTTGGGCGATTTACATCCAGTCCTTTCCTGCCGTTCTCTTAAGATCGTCGGTCCATCTCATTTGTGGTATTTCTCTTTTTCTTTTCTTTACCCATGGTCTCCGGTATAGAATTCGCTTATTCCATCTTTCATCTTTTTGCCGGAGAGTGTGACCGGCGAAGTTCCATTATTTAAGTTTTGCAACCTGTCTTGTTACATCGTTCACCTTTGTTTTTTCTCTGATCCATGAATTTCTTTTCCTGTCTTTAAGACCGATACCCAGCAACTTTAGAGTAGTGTTTAATATTATATTAGCGTATTTATATATTCATAAAAACATGGATCCACTAGTACACACCAGAGACCAAGAGACAATAAAAATAGTGGACAATACGCAGCGAAGGTGCTCCGAAGTAGTAGAAGACTGTTATTGGCCGGAAAGGTGATGGCCACAATTTTCCAAAATTCACAAGAAGTCATCTACATCGACTACCTGTAGAAGGGCGAAATGACCCCTGACTCTTGCTGCAAGGAAAGCCTACTTTGCAGATCTAGAGAAAACAATTTTTTTAGACGGAGTAAAGAAGTTGGAACATCGCTGGGTCCAGTTTATCGAGCTAAAACAATACTGTGTTGAGAAATAAATCGCCACTTTTCCAAAATTTTCTTTTTTCTTTTGTACGCTAAGTTATTATCGGACTGCCTAGTTTCTTTAATTTTTCCGATTTGTCACTTGTTTTCTCGAGTACCTTATTCACATTTCTTCTATGTCAGTGTAAATGGCATCATTTCCTTCAATCTTCTTCTTTTCTTCTTCTTTTGGTCTTCTGCTTGCAGAACTCTTAGGGCGTTTCTTTCTTCTGTCATTCTTAACACATGTCAAACATTTAACTCTCTATGCCCTGACTTTCTGAGTTATTTTAGGTCTCTTATATATTTTTACTAGCTGGGTTTGTTTTTTGTGCAATTTCACGTTAGCCTCATTTATACCACCAAAATTTTTTTTTAATTTTCTCTCCTAAGTCTCTAACGTTTTTTATTCTTTCTGATTAATTGTTTAAGTTTCACATTCATTCAATACCGTTGGTATCATGAAGTTCCTTAAATCTCAAAAATCACATGACGTTCGGAAAAAATGTCCAGCCATCAACAGTGATTAACTGACTGACGCCAGGGGTGAAGTGGGGTGTGACATACCCCTGCGGAATATTTTGACATTTATGTTAATGAGTATTGAAGAAATTATAAAAATAACAATCTTACTCGATAGAGTTATGTTATAGTAACAGCTACATAACAATTAAGGGCAGTAAGATGCTATTTTTGAGAGAAATTCAATTTTTTACATGCGTGGAGTGTATCACACCCCACCACACCAACGCACTGTTAATATATAATGTATAAAGATAAATATTTTTACAGCAGTAAAGAAATGAGATAATATTTTAATATGTGTTATGTGTTAGTATTTTAGATCAATCTATTTTCAAGAGAAAAAGGTCACTATTAATTTGTTAAAAATGTCTTCAGGGAATACTTGTCCAATCAATTTGTTACTCCTTTACAATGTACTAGATATTTATTCAAAGCTTTATCGTTGACACCAACAACATAAATAAACTGAATAACCTTTTAAATTTCTAAATACCACCCTGACATAAACGATACCCGCCGCCCTCCATGCACTGAAATTTAAGCTCTATCTGGCTTTTTACGATTAATTTATTGATAGATTAAATATGCATAGAATAGAGTAACGGTGCAAGCTACTGGTAAATGCAGGATTATTTTGTGCCTTGGACGATTTATTAGGTATTATAAGCTTTTAGAAACAACAGAAAATGTTGTTGCTCATAAATGCTGCGGAGAGACTGCATGATGTTTTAAAAAGCAACTAAATGCAGAGGTTTCTCTACTAGTAAAAGATAACTGTTTACAAAACTGGTTGGAATTCTGTTTATAATTTAATTTTCCTACAAAACTATTCTACTAAAAATGTTACAATGCGGTATATAAAACATGTTTTTAAAATATTTTTATTGTACCAAGATCAATGAAAGTTTTGTGTAGACTGAGCGATACCAAAACAATAAAACCAAAACACAAGTAGAAAATAAAATAATAATTTTTATTTAAAGTTTCCAGTTCCACCAAAGAAATTGATTTGAAAACGATTATTAAGTTGTTTGGCGGTTAATGTTTTCCAAATTGACGGTTTACTTTAGCCCCAAACAGGCATATACTAGTTCGCTACTCCAGTCAGATTGTCATATCCTTTAGAAAAGAATCACAAGTAAACTCGCTCCGGCCCTATATTTCTTAGAAACGATTAAAAAGTTTAAAAATGCCTTTAGTAGGTATATAATAAAATAATAATGAATAACTAGGGTCAGCTTAAATAGAAAATGTTGTCTCCAAAAAGTAGGGATATTGATACATTTTATTAATATAATGCTTAATAAATATTTCTCGAACTTCGTGGTTACATACTTATTTACATATATATTTTAGTTATCACTAAAGTAGAGTTTTATGAAAGCAAAGCTTAAATATTGACTGTAACAAAAATAGCGGGTCGACTAGCTGTAACTAGTTACCAGCTGTAGTCCGTTTGAAGAGGTTTACTCTCCGGACACTGGAACTCACTTCAAGCATGTTACCTGAAGTCAAATTTAATTTAATATTTAACATCACATTTAATAACAACAATATGTACAATCTTTAATAACTACACGTAATTTATAGGGTTTTTACCCGGGTATTTTGGTGGCTCAGGCATTTTAACCTAGCAATTTTAAACCTGATGATGGACTGTTTAGTCCGAAAACGTTTGTTTTTTTTATGTAGCCCTTTTAAGGGTTTTTTAATAAATATACCCATTTACGAAGACTAACCTCTTTTTTTGAGTTATAGTTTTCGTTGCATGAATAAACAATATTTCATATTTAATTTGATATCCAACAAGGTAATGGTTTTCAAAATACAAATTACATTGTACTCAAAATTTGGATTCTACATTTAAGTATTTGAAGACTGAAGTATGACTGAACTATAACCTCACTAAACTACTCATATCAAAGCACATTCGCCAGCCTACTATATAATCAAACCAAGACTCGTTACTAATAAACCATTCAAAAACTTCTGGTCAAAAAAAAAACTCATAGTTTTTTAGTAATAATTTTTACCTTAAAAAAATAGTCCATATTTTAGGTTTTGTGGAATTATATCAATACGTATTTTTTATTGTTTTATATACTTAAACAACTTGGACTCATATGCTTCTTTTGTTTACAGTGTTCCAATCAGTAGATGCCGTTTTATCCCGAAGTGCGACATTACCGTGCGATATAGAACCGGACGTCAAAGAAGATCGTGTTTATATGGTGTTATGGTATCGTGATGGTCACAGTAAACCAATTTATAGGTAAGTTTACATTACTTATCTTACACGACATTAGTGATGAGTTGTTCACGGACGATACGGATCGAACATTCGGCTCTTTACACTGAGCCGAAAGACCCGGATCTCGAAATTACGACGACACGGGTCTCTTATGATCCGCATTAAATATGAACGAAAGAAGAACCTGCAGACAACAAACCCCACCTAATGTACTACAAGGACTTCAAAACATCGACATTGTCATAATAGGGATTGGGTTGTTTCTCATATTTAAATTAGGAGGGTCTACATTAGTTATTTTTTTTAATATCCCGGTTTTTTATAGCGTTCTCCGCCTTTCAGTTCCCAGTTTCCAGCTAAGTCGGGCATTTCATTCGCCAGGGTGAAGGTTTCTTTCCGACATTGCCTTCTGAATGACGCCCAGCCAGGATTGTTTTGGCGTTCCTCTCTTCCTTCTTTCCCTTGGCGTCCATTTTAAAATTTGGTTTGACAGCCTGTCATCGTCCATTCTTTTCACATGACCATACCAGATCAGTTGTCTCCTTTGAATTTCGTCAATGATGTTTGACTTGACTCCCGTTATATTTCTGATATGGTCATTTTATATTCTATCAAGCTTTGATTTTCTAGCTGATCTTCTCCAGAAGTCCATTTCCATTGCAAGTAGGCGTCGCTTAAGTGATTTAGTAAGTTTCGCATCCATAGAGCACTATGGATGCGAATGCGTCTACATTAGTAATAATATTAATTGCAATTATACATTTTAAGTTATTTTATCCTCTTATATATTGTAATTTTATGCATCTAAAATCCGTTAATCTCACTGGGGTCCTAGGGATTTTAAGAGTTGAAACCGCGCAATGCTTTAAAATACCGACTGCCATTATGTCTGGAAACAAAATTTGGGACTCAAAGTCAATATTATCCTAGAATAATGTAAGGTATAAAAATACGAAGTACCATAAAATATTATGATTATAGTTCATGAACATAAATGTCTGAATAGATGGTAAAAAACTAAATGGTGTCTGCAGAAAGCTGAGATCACCAAAGATCTTGCAGTCGTCCCATATATCACTATACTCCCAACAAACACCATAATTTTCTTTTTACTTTATTTGAATATATCTATCAACAACCTTTTCAATTTTAAAGTTAGTATCAGATTACACATCTTCATCATTCAACTTATAACTTAAAACTTATAGCTTAGAACTTATAACTTAAACGTTTCCTATTTACCAGCTACCAAATTAATGTTGTTTTTTACCATACAGGACCTCTATAATTGAGTTATAAGTTAAATATCATGTGAACATTATACTAAAAAAGTTTTATTTTATTCATTTAAGAACACTTTCAATTTCAAATAAATACATTCATACCTAATCATTATCAATAAAATTTCTAGAACTCAACCTCCCACATGTGTCTAGTTTCTATTTTCTGGGTACCAAATGTTTGAGAAACATAAAGGGCCTTATAATTAAAACTTTTTCACTACACACATGTATAGTTGGTTGCCTACCTACAACCACATAATTTTGCTTTCCACATCCCATCTCATATACATAAATTTAAAAATAACATTAATGGTTGATACTGTTATATTAATTTATTGTATTTTCACAATTTCAAATAACAGTGGCTTTTGTCTTAAGTAGAAACATACAGTTATATTGAGTGATCTGTTACAACTTCCGTCATAACTAAACAGCATTGTCATTAATGTCATTGCCATTCAGTTGCTCCCATACAGTCTTTCTAGACACACTGTCTCAAGACTAGCAACTTCAACGTGGAGTCATATGTCGCCATGTTACCAAATCCAACGGTAATTTTAACATCTTAAACCATTAAAAGAAAATTTGTAAACTAAGTGTAATTAATTATTTGTTAACGGGTTTTTACCCATATATTTAGTGGCTACATTCATGTACTCTTAGTAAGTATTAACCACACTTTGTATTAACCTTAGTCAAAATTTTAAACATACGTTCTTTTTAATTAAGTGGTTAAAAAATTTCTAGGACACTGATGATGGAATATGAATTCCGAAAACGTTTTGTCTTTTTAACTTAGCCAGTTTGGGTTCTAAATATATACCTTTTACAAAGGATTTTTAATAAATTTTTTAATGTATGGTATACAGCCAACTACAGGAACGTAGATTCCTTGTGGATTTCTAGTTCACGTTCTTATCAATGAAACAAGGACACAAATTGCACCCTCCTTGATTCTTTTGATTTATTGGCTTTTTTATCTATTCTTCTTCACGTCTTGTTATATAGCTTGTAATGTAATAAGCTTTATAAGTCTATAAAGGTTATAGTTGGAAAGCTGTCGCATACAATACATTTAACTTAGAGTTAGAGTTGGCAATGATAAGACCTGCTGTATATTCATAGAAACTGTCATGGTGTTACTTGTGGGTTGCCGACAATTCTAACGGTTTTTTCTCGTTGCTTCTACAGCTGCTTTAGCTTATGGGTGGTGAAGTTATAACTTAAATTAAGCATCTTTCTGTGTGGAATCTTTTGTTTGCATGTGCAGTAAATTACAGGTAACACAGGTATCTGTTCTAAGCTTACGAAAGCTTACATTGGGAAAATTCTTGTTGAAAATTTGAAAGTAAAACGATAGCCAACTGCTGAATCAGGATGAGTTTCTTTAAACGCCAAGTACAGTCTGTTTATATTAAGATCGAAGCTCAAATACTGTTTCCCGCTTTTTAAACAGTTGTAATGTCCCACGTCTCCGGATTATACAGAACGAGATGAACAGTAATAACTTTACTAACAGGTATATCATCAAAACAGTACTAAAATTGTCATATTTTTTGGCACTTACCACATTATTTATTTCAAGACTTCAATTATAATTCGCGAATTTATATGCGAAAAAAAAAACAACAGAAATACAATATGTTGACAAATAATTTGAGCAGGGGACAGTGCCCTACAGTGGCCATGCTCCTACAGTGGACACTTTTAAATTTCTGCGAATCTATATCCTGGTGCGTGCTGCCACCAACCTTGTTAGGTGCGCATTAGCATCAGCAACGTTGCACGGTGACGATGCATCTGTCAGTCACGTGTAGTTCGAGCAGTGAGAAGTTGTGTGTTTTGCGACGCAAAAAGTTACGTTTTCATCAAAATAGTGAGTAAAATTGTACATTATCATTTATATTTTATTCCAAGTAACATCCATGGCATTAATTCTGTATCTGATGACCACATATTTCCCCTGTTTTCATCTGCTAAAATTGTATAGAATATCATATCTACCATTTTTCTAAAAATGTGATAATTCATACAGTGGCCATGGTAAATGTAGCCAACAGTGGCCACTGCTTTTTGGATTCATTTAGGGGTGGCCACTGTGGGAATGAATTCGGTTTTAATGCTTTATTTTTTTATAGATGCCGAAAGGTGAGAAACTGACAATTACTCCAGAGCATGTAATGCGGGAAGCAGTACAAAAAGTACTAGAAGGCGGCTGGTCTACACAAAGAGCGGCAAAATACTTTAATATTCCCCGTAAGACATTGAGAAGATATGTCACTAAATGCGGGAGACAAATGGAGAACATAGACTTTAATAAGGCCAAGCATCCTTAATTGACTCCAAATTATGCATGTCATCAGATCTTTACTTCTGCAGAAGAAAAAGAATTGAGCATATGATCTAGCTACTTTCTACAAGAAAAAGGTACCCGAATGTTGGGAAACAAACAAATCTGCTGGCTCCAAATGGTTCAACGGGTTCATGAAGAGAAATCCTACTTTATCGTTAAGGGTCCCTGAAGCAACGTCACTAGCTCGAGCCATGGGATTCAATAAGCCTGTAGTTGACAAATTCTTTAAAAATCTAAGTGATATTTATTTATCTCGTAAACTTGGCCCTGATTAGATCTACAATGTAGATGAAACGGCTTTAACTACGGTGCAGAGTACAAATAAGGTTGTTACTACTTAGGGCCAAAATCAAGTCGGCCAGATTACTTCGGCAGAGCGAGGAACCCTAGTCACCATGATAGGAGCAATAAATGCAATTGGAAACTCAGTTCCTTCTCTGTTGGTATTTCCAAGAAAAAATTTCAAACAGCATATGTTAGTTGGTGCTCCACCTGGAAGTGAAGGAGCAGCAAATCCTTCAGGATGGAGCTCGAAAGAAATTTTTTTACAGTAGTTAAACCATTTTATCAAACATGCGGGTCCTACTGAAAATCGACCAGTCTTGCTTATCATGGATAACCATGACACACATATTAGTTTGGAAGTAATAGAGACCGCTAAGTCCAATAATGTCATCTTGCTTACATTTCCACCCCACACAAGCCATTAGCTCCAGCCATTGGATGTTTCTGTTTTCGGCCCACTTAAAAAATACTATAATAAGAAGTGTGGAGTTTGGATTGCCAATCATCCGGGAAAACGAATTGATATCTATAACATTGCCGAGATTTTGGGCCAAAGTTATGGCCAGGCCTTTTATATACAAAATATAGTTTCCGCCTACTAAAAGTACTGGTATTTATCCGCTTAATAAGAATTGTTTCAAGGAACATGAACTTTTGCCAGCATTAGTGACCGATATACCACTTAAGCCCCAGCCAGCACCCATCAATATACCATTTGAACCTCAGCCATCTACTTCACAATCAACCAACGAAACACTTCCAACGAGTGTTCAAGGTGATGAGATCTCAACCGAAGGTGATGAAGAGGGTGCTCTATACTTTTCACTCGAATTGGTGAGACCTTTCCCAAAAGCAGAAAGACAAGTCCAATCTAAGCGTGGACGGAAGAAGAGGACAACCAAAATTTTAATTACCCCCAATATTCAGAAGCTTAAAGATGAACTTGATGAAAAGCTGAAGTCCAAGGTTACGAAAAAGCTTCCATTAGTAAAAAGTGCTTCCCCTAGCTCATCAGAAAATGAGGATTAGAGTGAGCAGGAAATTTCGTTTGCCTCGTCCACACTTACTGAGAATTTCGATGAAGAAGAGTATGACGATAGACCTTTGGAAGTGAGCAGTTTTGTTCTTGTGAGGTTTGCTACCACAAAAACGATAAAACATTTTGTTGGACAAGAGGTGCTACCTGATGAAGAATATATGGTGTCGTTTTTAAGAAAATACAGGGAAAAGAAATTCGTTTGTCCAAATGTTGATGATGTTTCTGTGATACAAAGGGCAGACATTGTTCTGCATCTACCTGAACCAAAAAATACTGGAGGGACATTAAGAACAGCTAGATGCTTTTTTTTTTCGATATTGATTTGGACCCTTATAACATCAACTACTCGACCAAACTGAAGACAGAAGATTTCATTTGTATACTTTTTCCTTATTTATCTTCTTTAAAATATCACTTTTATGTTTTCTTGAAAGTTTGTTCCTCAAGACTTGTTATGCATGAATATTTTTTACTTTCCCAAAGATGTTGGCATTTAAGACTTATTTTTCGTTATTTTGTTCTCTAAGTTCGCAATAAAAGTTGAGAGCAGCAGATTTAGTTTCATTATTTTTTTTTTTTTTTAAATAGTGGCCACCGTAAGACCTATTGGTGGCCACTGTAGGCGCTATTTTCCTACAGTGGCCACATTTTTGAAAAAGAGTAAGTTGCTTTGAAATAGGTTGTTTTTTTTTATTTTTTGCAAAGTTAGCTATGGCAATTTGTAAACAAATAATGAATGTTTTGCTAAGTTTAATTATTTTTTTAAAATTGCTAATGAGTAAAAAGTTGTGTCCAACAAAGTAAAAAGGTGGCCACTGTAGGGCACGGTCCCCCACTATTTAACCAGCTCGATGATAATAGAAACAAAATAACGATTTAATTAAAACTACAGGTAAATATAACAATTGTTTTTTAGATACAAATAACATTTAATCCTCACAAAAAATTTACCATATCTTAGGTAGAAAAGATAATGAATTGTTTTCCAATATTTATATATACATTAATTTATTTAGCCTCGTTAGTAAACAAAAAACTCAAAACAACCCCGATAACATTCATTTTATTTCCTATTTGGTGAAAATATTAATGAAACAATAACAAGCACCAGTAATTAAGTTGCATTTGTTTGCGTTTTGCTTTGTTAATTGGAATTATATAAAAATACCCTTTTGGTAACAAACAAGCACAAATGTTTTTCATGTTTATATTTATAGAATACTCGACAGTAGAATTATAAAAAAATATAAAATTTTGTCATACTGCAGTATTCTGTAAAATCCACCTTAATTATAGTAGTATTGAGTCCCTCCTGGTAAGTGAGAAGACACTGGCTTAACCCACGATTGTGAATATGAACACAAGGTGTTTTTGATAGGAAAGGTGCTTTAAAGCATATAAAACTAACTCTACTTTCGGTAATTATGTATATAGGATGTCAGGAAATAATGGCTAACACAAAAAAAGGTCAAAAACTAAAAGCCAAAGAAAGTTGAAAAGACTGGTGTTCATCCTTAAATAAAGAAAAGCTATTAAAAATGTCTGGAATCACGCAAGGAACATGTATTACTCCAAGTATTAATCATCTAATAGCACCTCCATTAGCTAATACTGCTATAGAAATTCAAAATAATCCCATAACTACAAGTCAGTTTCTATTAAATCCATTTACACAGGAAGAATTTGACTTTACACTACCAAATAGGTCTAACCCTTTAACCAAATAAATATCCTAACTTGGTGCAATCATATAGGCCACTCTGTTTGATGTCTTGTGTTTTGAAGACTTTGAAAAGAATTATAAAAGTTAAACTAGAATGGTGGATAACTTATATAGTGGATAATGGTGGATAATAAACTCCTTGTCAAAATTAATTGTCTTTTAAAAAAAGGGGTTGCTTCTGTAGATGCTCTTAGTACTCTTGTTGTAGACATAAGCAATAGTTTTGGCAAAAACAATTACCTATCTGCGCTTTTTGTAGACGTAGAAAGTGTGTATGATACTAACCTGGAATGACAATTATCATTTACTGGAATGACAATTATCAATACGTTTTTGCAATTAGCACATTTATTATTATTACTAGCAATTAGCACCGTGTGCTAATTGCAAAAACGTGTACATTGGTGAAACATCTCGTAATTTTCACAGTAGGGTGATCTCACATCGCAACGACATAAAAACCAAAAAAATTAACGAATGCGCGTTGACAGAACATGCATTAAGTTTAAAACATGAATTTAATTTCGAGGATTCCTGTATTCTGGCAAGGGAAAATAACCATTCTAAACGTGTTTTCTTGTAAATGTGTTTAATAAAGTCCAGTGCGTCTTGTATAAATAAGAAGTCCGATATAGACAAATTGAGTAACATTTATTGTTATTTACTGACTAAACATAAAAAATGACACAAAGACTTACTTGTACATATACACACCATAATACACCTGCATGCTAAACAGGTTGCATACCATCAACACAGGTTTAATACATTACCTTCTATTAATAACATATGAGGAACTCCTAATGAATTTTTAATCATACTATTTTTATTTTTGTTTTTTTTATTTTCTATGGGTAAGTTAAACCACACCAAGAAGATGTAGAAAACGAATTTTTAGAACTTTTATTATTTTTAACTAAATTTTAAAATGTATTGTATCCATTATTGTATAAGTTATAGTTTATATGTTTGTTATTAATGTTGAGTGTCATAGGTTCTTACAAATAATCTCAACGACTAGTAAGTACACTGACATTTTGTGATTGTAAATATTTACACATTTTTCTAATTACAGTGTCTTGATAAAGGAATTAAACAATTCCGAAAGCTAGACCAAAAGTCAAAAGAGTGTTTCTGTAACATCCCGGCCAAACTTCTGACTGCAGCCCCAATAAACTTTGTTGTTTGTTTAAATTGACAGTCACGAATATCCAGTATTCACTGTATATAATATATATATATACATATACATATATATATATATATATATATATATATATATATATATATATATATATATATTTATATATATATATAAATATATATATATATATATATATATATATATATATATATATATATATATTTATATATATATATATATATAAATATATATATATATATATATATATATATATATATATATATATATATATATTGGATGTAGATGTGTAGATATGTTTTTAAAATAATAATTAATATTGATTGTTAGTCTCTATTAAACGATCATAATATATCCAAAACAAAATATCCATGGACTAAGAGTACATGTAATAGAAGGAAACGTAAGTTCCAAAGGAAACCGCAAGTATAAACCGCAACCACTCTCGTTCACATCCTGACTATCCCACAATTCTTGTAGGCCAGCATTATCTTTAGGGGGCATGTTTCGAATACTAAATTCAGAACTGATTTGAGCGATGTTAATGCAAACATATGTTTCCTAACCTGTCCGAAATATATTGCGGCTGCAAGGGTTTGTAAACGGTCCTTGTCCTTAAACGAAGTCCCTACAAATGGTTGTTTGAGGAGTTAAGAACAAATTTATAATCAGAAAGTTTAAAATTTGTTTTGAGTAAGGTTGCTACGAGCATAATAGAAATAATATTTATGTTGCACAGTACGATTCCATGTAGTTAAGTTTCCTTTATATAACATTTTCAAAATTAAAAATTGTTTTAATTAATAGCTTTTCTTATAAACACATATGTTACGGTTTAACTTGGAAAATGGATAATCTTGACATTAACCGGATAATCCTAACTGTAACAGAAATGCAATGTTAATGTCGTACGAAATTCAGATATATTGACATTACTTGGTTAATGTCGAGTTTACTTTTTCTAGTAAAATTCACTATTCAACTAATGTTGAATAGTGTATTAGAAAATAATATAACGTTGTCAAGCGTATAAAAGATACCAACTATTAATTTAAACATGACAAACTTTCGTTTTTAATCGGACATACACTGAACTGATTTATTGCAAACTAGCGGACCCGACAGAGTTCGTTCTGTTAAATAGATTTGGAATGTGGTAGTTTATTTCTTTATTTCTCCTGAACAGAACCGTCACCATGATGATAAGGCGGTGTGTGAGGGTGAGCTCGGGTGACCTAAGTATCTTCGCCTCGAAGAACTTTGGCCAGCCTTTTGACCAACTAAAAACACCGACTGGGATGTCTGCCAGAGGGATTCAAACTAAGAGGGGAACTTAAGGTTCAAACCTAATTGAAAAATAATCTAAAGGGATAGTGAAAACCGAAAGGTGACAACTATTTATAAAGTGGGTGCTTCAATGACAAAACATAGAGAAAATTAATTATTTATTATTATTATTAACTTGTGTTAATAACATGTAATAAAGATGTAATAAAGAATAATAAAATAAAACTTATATAAGTATTTTGAGTAATCTCTTCATTGTAAAGCAAGTGAATCATAATTATCAACAAAAATCTGTTTTTATATTTATTTTATATAATTGTGGGATAGTCAGGATGTGAACGAGAGTGGTTGCGGTTTATACTTGCGGTTTCCTTTGCAACTTTATGATATACAATGTTTTTTGTTTGATTACCTAGTGAATAACAAACAAATCTGATGGTTTTCCAACACGGGAACAGGCAACATACAATTGACCATGTGAGAAACATGGGTTTTCTAGATTAATACCACAAACACCTAATGATTGCCCCTGGGACCTATTTATGGTCATAGCAAAAGCAAGCCGCACTGGAAACTATAGTCGTTTAAATTCAAATGGTACATCAGTCGGAATCATTGTGATGCGTGGTATGAAAACGTCTTCTCCTTTATACTTTCTTTTCAGTATAATTGTTTCTGTCACGTTGTTCAATAATTTTTTTATGACTAATTGTGTGCCGTTGCAAAGACGCGGTTGGTTGATAGTTCTCAACATTATAACTACCGATCCAACCTTTAATTGAAGATTGTGAGGAGACAATCCTGGTAAATCCAGCGAGTTTAAAAATTCAGGTGAATAGTTGACTACATCATCTTGGTTAGTAGCCAAATCAACTGATTTATATATTATCAATTCGCCTGTAATTTGTTTTTGAATTTTGAAATTGAATTCATTTACATCTTTGTTTTTTTGCAGCCAATATAGCCCGTTTGCTCAAACAATCAAGGCTTCTGTAATTTTGAGCAACATCTGAAAACAACTTTTGGAAACAAACATCGGTTTGTTTGACAGATGCAACGACGTGAAAACTGATGCAATTTATGTCGCGTTCCGAAACTTAAACAAAAGAAAGAATATTGCGAGACCAATCAAATCTATAGCTCTTATATTTTTTGACTTTTCAATTTGGTCGTGTTCACGATATTATCACTTTTTTGTGAACGCATTAGATCCTCCAACGCGAACACGCACACACACGAATGCGCACACACACGAATGCGCACACACATGCATTCGATTGAATTTGAACTTTTGGCAGCGACAATAAAGCGCAAATTGAATCTTCGACGTTAGGAACACACTTACATACATTGTTTAGACAACAAAAAGTGCTTGTAATTTTATATAAACTTCATTGAATAGCAATAAAGTTTAACGTAACTCTACATATAGTTAGAAAATATTTGTATGAGAAAAAGAAAAGAGCTCTTTTAGGGTTTTCTCGGAAATTATTCTAATTTTTCATGGTGTAAAAACCATCCTTAGACTTCAAGGAACATTTTAAAAAAAGAATTGTTAATCTACTGCAAATTTAAACATTATTGACCACAAGTTTTTAATACCAGGTCATACACATATGGAGTGAGAAGAAAAAACTCTAGTAGTCGAATAGAACATATACATGATTGTGCTCAACTAATTTTTGCAAGTTGGGAAAAAAAAATCAATTTTTAGTTACAGAAATGCAGTGCTCTGCATTTCTTAATTTTGGTGACTTATTTAATTCCGTCAAGGCCGTAGATTTAGGAAAGGGGAGAAGCGGAGACAAATTTATTACCTATATAATAAGCCTGTACCTATAACGATAGAAAAGAAAAAGCACCTGTTAGACTTCCTGCCTTACATATTAGAATCACTGTGGAATTTTTACAAAAATCTACTTACAGATAAAGACTTACCTGATGTGCTCCCGGATTCATCAACTTCGTCAACTGACAACGATCAAAAGTTTGGTTTATATTTTAGCTAGATTTGTATGCATAGGTATGTAATGTTTAATATTTTTAGTGCCTAAATATATGTTGCACTTACGTAAGCGTATATTACTGTTAGTTAAACATTAACTTAGTTAAAGAATTAAAGGACGAAGGACCACCAGCTAGACACTGAAATGAAAAACAGGTTAAACACTAACATATATCTATTGCTAAGACTAAATAGAAATTACTGATAGCCGTCCGAAAACACTGTGATATGGGATACTTCACTACACTTTTCACTGATGGTATTTTCACTATTATATATAATTACAAGTAGAATTGCTTAGCGGAATGTCATTTGTCATATGTTTAAAGCGAACTACTAGCAACACTGCTGGTTTGAATAAATAAACTCTTTATATGAAAACTATAACTGCGGTTTTAGGAAACACTGGTTACTATAATTACTTAAAATTGTGAATACTAAATCTACTGATCTTCTTTTGGATCTATTCAATACCATATATAGAACAGGTATAATACCTAAAGAATGGCTCCAATCAACATTCATACTGCTTCCCAAAAAAGCCAATGCAAAGGAGTGCAATGAACATCGCACCATAGCCTTAATGAGTCATGCCTTGAAATTGTTTTTATAAGTAATTCACAATAGAATACATAAGAAATTATAGGAAGGCATAAGTAATACACAAGTGGGATTTAGGAAAGGTCTGGTAACACGATATGCACTGTTTGCATTAAGTGTTCTTTCGCAGAGATGCTTAGATATTAATCAGGAAGTATATATCTGTTTCATTGATTTTGAGAAGGCATTTGACAGAGTGCAGCATAATCGACTTTTATCGAATTTTATTAAATAAAAACATAGACAGTAGAGACATCAGAATCATCTGTAACCTCTATTGGAATCAAACAGCAAAAGTGAAAGTTGAAAACGAACTGACCAAGGATATCCAGATTCGCCGTGGGGTCCGCCAAGGGTGTATTTTATCACCCTTGTTATTCAATTTATACAGTGAAGCCATCTCAGAATTAGCGCTTGCGGAGATCAGTGAGGGCCTTATAATAAACACTGAGCCACTTAATAACATAAGATATGCTGACGACACCGTCCTTCTGGCAGGAACACTAGAAGAACTGCAACACCTTGCTGAGCAACTAAATATATATTGCAACGATTATTGACTAAAAATCAATTTGAGGAAAACCAAGTTCATGGTATTTACAAAAGCACAAAACATCAAAGTTAAGCTAGTACTAGATAATACATAAATTGCACAAATATCCTTGTACAAATACCTTGGAGCATGGATCACAGAAGATACTGATCAGACAAAAGAAATAAGATGCCGCATTGAAATTGCGCGGTCAACTTTTAATAAAATGAGAAAACTTTTTTGTAATCGCGATATCAATATATCGCTCCGGATAAGAATGCTTCGATGTTATATTTTCTCTATCCTTTTGTATGGAGTTGAAGCTTGGACACTTAAAAAAATCCAACATTAAAAACCTAGAAGCATTCGAAATGTGGTGTTACCAACATATTTTGAAAATATCATGGATGGATCGCAAAACAAACGAACAAGTTCTCGAACAACTAGGAAAACAATGCGAAGTTTTAAATTCCATAAAAATCAGGAAAAATCTTCGATAGGAGTGAAACTTGAAGAAGAAAAAGGTTACTATAAATGATTGGCTTAATAATCTTTATGAATAATAGCTGTTTTTGTAATAATTTGTAATAGCTTTTTCTGAATTGACTGTGGTAATATATAAATTATGTAGGCAGGTAGCGGAGGGCTCTTACCCCAAGAAGTACCGTTAAATATTTTCCTTTATTTCTTCTATACCGGCATGGTTGAAAATTTATATCAAGTAAAATGGAATTTCACCAACTGTAATAAAATTTTCGATTATCTGTATGCTATCATCATTATGTTCAATTAAAAAAGGGGTAAGTCTTATGCTTATTTGTAAAAAAACGAGTTAAGTCAAACAAATATTACTTTAAACATATTTTGTTTTGAAATACACAGCAAAAAAAATGTTAATCCGTTTAGGAAAAGTACATGTAAAAAAATTTCAAGTGGATTATCATTCAAAACAACTGCAATTATTTTTTTTTGTAAAATTTTAAGTAGTATTTTTCGCGTTTTCAAGTTTTATGACTTGTCACTATTTTTACGCGCAACGGTGATATATATTTGTATATATGTTACTATGTGTAGCTGGTGGTATCACTAATGGTCCACAAAAACCAATTATCAAATTGTTTCCAAAAAATAGTACATTGTTTACCGGGTAGGAAAAGCTTAACATTCCTGGACGACTGTGAAGATTGCTAAGTCGAGGCGCAAGCCGAGACTTGGAAACACAGAGTCCAGGAATGTGGCTTTTCCTACGAGGTAAACATACTATTTTTCCGCAAATCGTTTAAAATTCGACGGATATTGATTGATTTAAAAAAAAACGCGATAATTTTATTCCCAAATAAATGGTGCTTTGAAATTCCTAATAAAATTACTTGGGTTACTATGGAAACGTATTGAGGTTGAATTGTCAAACTTGACGCTTATAAATGTAATTGCTGGTGTTCTCGAAAGTAAAATGATAAGTGGTGATGAAATTTCCATTCCTGGGACTCCTCCAGAGCTGGTTGAGGCAGTGAATACTGCTTCATTAGAATTATTGCCAAATAAATCAAGAGAAAAGTACGAAAATGCATACAGACGTTTTATGGATATAAATATAACAAATTGATCTTAAAAATGTATTCAGCAATGACTTGATGTTTTCAAAATATAAATTAATTCCTTATAAGCAATGTGTTTTCTATCATTTATGTAGAACACTAACAACTGTACGAAAATATCATTTCCTTACAGTAAGGAAATGACATTTCCTTACAGTAAGGAAGTCCTGACTTTTTCTTCAAGAAATTTTGACAGGAATGTCAACATTTCCTGGCGATTTGCAGAAAATATCTTTTTTTCTGAAAAAACTGCATCTTTAAAACTTCAATATTCTTCAGTCAATTTGTATATTTTTTGTAATAGCATCCGATTTTCTTTATTCAAATATAGCAATTACCGTTTGATTTAATTAGTGTTCTATTATATGTTATTGAATAATAAACTTACAAAATCTACAACCGCAAAACCTGCACTACATACCCGCTAATATTTATTTTGTTAGAAACCAAAGTTTGCTAATTAACAAAGTTATCCAAAATATCCAAAATCCTCAATTGGTGGATCCTTTTAGAAACTAGACGCTATAAATTCCGGAAAGGGTCAAAAGTCTGTGAGACAAAACCGCACTGCGTGTTAATTAGGGTAGGTAAATTCTCATTTATTAGCTATACCAACTATTTTAGTTATCAGAATGTTGCCGACATAAGTATCAAATGAAAAGACAAGTGTGTTACTTGGGAACGATAAAATGGGTTGTCCCTAAAGGTAGAGTAAATATAAATTTACCGACATAAAATTTAGGAAAACCACAATGTTGGCCATATTGTCTAAATGAAAATAAACAGTTCCATCATTTAATTATATTTGATTGCGTCTCGCGACATATTTTCTAGCCGATAATTAAACTTTATATACCTATTTTTGTAAAAAATATATCTGTCTATCAAAAGAATCTGATATGGGCATATACTAGTTTGCTCCGGTGCCGGCGGTCAGATTTTAATACCCTATAAAAAAGGATCAAATATAATCAGATAAAAAGATCAAAGAAGCTATTAGAATAGCTAAGAATACACATCTAAGAAAATAGTGTGCGGAAATACAGCAATAGATCACATGCTATAAGTCAGTTGAAAAAATATCCGTAAGGGGCGCTTACGTCGAGGTAACAAGTCACAAATATTATAATACGTAAAACTAATAAAAAAAAAAATAAGTGATATCCTACCAGAAATTTTAATTGATCAATATAGGTAGATCTATAGATGGGAAAATAATTTGCAAGTATAACTTATGCTATTTTTAAAATTACAAATCATAAAATTGTTATAAATTATTTCATTTATATATAAGTATATTAAGAAGAAATTCTATTTTTCAGTATTTTATATTTTTTTTGAAAATCCTATAATATTTTCAACAGTATATCAAAACGGAAAAATCTTGATCAACATAAGATTCGCAGACGACACCGCTGTTTTTGCAGACAGTCTAGAAGCACTGCAAGGCTTAGTAAATAGATTACATCAAGTCAGTATCAAATATGACTTTTACAAATGAACGTTAAGAAAACCAAGTACATATGATTATTTCTAAGCAACATACAGTAGGAAGGATATCGAGGGAAAACAAGTAGAAATAGTGAATACCTACAAATATCTGGGAACCTGTGTAAATGAAAACAATGACCAAGGTAGAGAAATAAGGGCAAGCATGGAAATTATTGTAAGACAAGCATTAAAAAAATGAAAACAATGTTTGTCAATCGAGACCTTCCTCTGGAGCTGAGGGTAAGAGCCTTAAGATACTACGTGTTCTCGACTTTGTTGTATGGAATGAACAGCTGGACAGTTAAAGTGGATAATATAAAGAAGTTGAAGTCATTTAAGATGTGGTGCTTTATAAGGATTTTGAAAATACCATGGACCTAAAGAGTTACAAATGCAGAAGTGTTAAGAAGGCTTTAAAGAAATTTCGAGGTGATAAAGCACATCAAAACAAGAAAGCTGAAATATTTAGACCACATGACCAGAGGTGCGAAATATGAGATATTAAGGTTTGTAATGCAAGTTAAAATCAAGGGTAAAAGATCCATAGGAAGACGAAGAATTTCCTAGCTAAGAAACCTAAAAGAGTGGTATAGTTGCAGCTCAGTAGATCTTTTCAGAGCAGCCACCAATAAGGTACGAATAGCTGTGATGATAGGCAACCTAAGTTAGGAGAAGGAACTATAAGAAGAATAATAATATTTTTAACGATGATTCTACGATTGGCAACGGTCCTTGTTTTTATTATTTCGTCTGTTAACTGAGCTCCTTTTTTAAATGGAGGTATATTTTTCCCCTTTTTCCTCTAAAAGTTCTTATATACTAAAACCCCTGACCGCTAAAATAAATTCTCCTTCTTCAATAAGTTCTAAGTTCCGCACTGTAATTTTACTATCTGAAATACTACCTCCAAAAATATAAGATACGTATATAATTTCACCTTTTTCAGATCGTGCTATTAGTATTTTAAAGATATTGGATCCATAATATATAGAATATGTTGTACGGTCCAGATAATTTGCATTGGTTTTCACAAGTTGTTGCAATGTTCCAAAAGTTAATTTTTTTTTGAAGCAAGTGTAAAGATGTTTGGTCCACTTAACAAATATTTTTCAGACAGTTTCAATGTCTACTGCAAACAAAATGCTTTAATGTACAATAAAACAAATTAGGTCTATATTTCATTTCATAAGTGTTATTAACAGTTCATTTTTTACTGAAAGTGCACTATGAATTTTAATATGTATGACTTTCCAAACTCTTCAATGAAAAATGTAAATAATTTTCTTAAAAAAACAGCAAAATTTTGCTTCTAACAAAAAGTCATTCAAAATGAATTGACCATTATTTCTCTCATTATTGACCATTCTTAACTGTTTGTAATAATTCTGTTTCTGTTTGACCTTTTTGTTTGTTTGGTGGCAATACTGCTGCACAAAGTATTTTTCTATATCTATTACTCCTCCTAGACTCATTCATTGGAGTCTCCAACGTTCTTTTCATAAATTTACTGTAGGTACTGCATGTTTTTTAAGGATCTTCCATTGTCCTAAAAAAAAAACAAGACAATAAAAATGCAAATAATTAGGATAAGTATTTTTTAACTTACCCAAACTTGTAACGATATAACTTTCATTTGAAAACTGCCTGGAACAAACTTTTGTGTGCTTGCTAATATTTTATTTAGACCTGATAACGATTAACCATCGTTTTTGTAAAGTTTAATTTAATGGAAATTTATGAAACTAAACATTGTCAGGTTAATTGGAAACTGAATTGCATTGTGGCACACAACAATTGTAAGGCATGCTATAAAGTGTCCAAACGATTTAAATGTCCTAATTAACTTATTAAAACTGAAATCGCTATGTAAATAAATGGCAAAATAAAATAAGGTTATGTTTTAATACCAAACCCTAACTCTAGCGCCACCTACATGGATGTGATCTATTGCAACATAAACACGATTCATTTGATATGCACAAAAAAGTTAAAGAAGCTGCAGGCTTATACAAACCTAGAAGAGTTGGGTGTTTGGCAGATAACCAAGGCAAACCACTGTTAACTGTGGAAGAAAAACTAGACACTTGGAAGAATTATGTGGAAGTAATTTTTGCAGATGAAAAGCAGAATACCTTTGAAGACACTGAAAGCCAAACAGGACCCCGATTACCATTGAAGAAGTCACGTCAGCTATTAAAAGATTAACTAAAGATGGTAAAGCGGTAGGGCCTGACGAGTTTTGTGCAGAATTCCTAAAACTTATGGATGAACAGGGAATAAAATGGATAACAACTGGATAACTAACAATACCAAAAAAAGTAAATGCCAAGACATGCGAAGACTACAGAACAATTAGCCTAATGAGCCACTTACTTAAAACGTTCTTGAAAGTGATACACGGCAGAATATATAAAAAATGCGAAGAACAAGTATCATGGACGCAGTTTGGATGCCTCGATTCCTTAGGCACTCTAGAAAATCTATTCGCTGTCCAAGTGCTTATACAAAGATGAAGGGATGTTAACTGTGATGTGTATACTTATTTTATCGACTACAAAAGACATTTGATAAAGTAAAGCATGATAAACTTATAAACATCATAAAGGAGCTGTGGTTAGATGATAGGGACTTGAGAATCATCTATAATTTATATTACAACCAAACAGCCAGTATTAAAGTGGATGACTAATTGACAGAGGCAGTCTCCATAGATAGAGGAGAGAGGCAAAGATGCATTCTGTCCCCGGTGTTGTTTAATATATACTCTGAATATATCTTCGAGCAAGCGCTAGGAGAGCTACAAGAAGGCGTATTAGCCGACGGAATGCGTCTAAACAACGTTATGTATGCCGACGACGCAGTAGTTTTTGCAGATAGTCTGGATGGTTTGCAAAACATAATGTCGCATATATCAGATATAAGTAGAGAACACGTACGTAATCTTAATACGAAGAAAACAAAGTACATGGTAGTCAGTAAGCGCGAAATATTAAATACACAGCTTTTGGTTAACCAACATCCAATTGACAGAGTGGACAGCTACACATACCTTGGTACCAACATTAACAGCGAATTGGATCACTCCAGTGAAATAAAACAACGCATAGGAAAAGCGAGATCAGTGTTCATAATTATGAAGTCTCTTTTCAGAAGTCACGATTTACCACTTGCTACCAAAATATCTCTTATTAGATGTTATATATTTTCTACGGTATTATACTGAGTAGAGGCCTGGACACTTTCAGAAGCTCCTTTAAAAAAACTCGAGACATTCGACATGTGGTGTTACAGACGTATTTTAAGAATTTCATGGGTGGATCGTGTGACTAATGTTGAGGTCCTACGCAGAATAGGGAATGCGAGATTATTAACACCATCAAATAGCGCAAACTAGTATGTCTTGGCCATGTTATGACGAATGAACAGAGATACGTTGCAACTCAATCTTTAGGGCAAGGTATTTGGAAAGAGAAGACCAGGGAGAAGAAGAATATCTTGTATTCAAAACCTGAGAAAGTGGTTTAATACATCGACAACCGGACTATTCAGAATAGCAGCAAGCAAAGTTAGGATAGCCATGCTGATCACCAACATTCGGAATGGATAGGCACCGTAAGAAGAAGAAGAAGATAGAAAAGGGTCAAAGGTAAATTCGCTTCGGTGTTATATTTCTTAAAAAAGATAATTTAAAAATGCCTTCAGTGGGTATACAATAAATAATAACGAATAGCCCGGGTCAGTATAAATAGAGAATGTTTTCTTCATAAAGCATGTACTTTTGATACATTGTGTTAATAATATAATGTTTAAGAAATATTTCTTAAATTTTGTTGTTACCTTAATACAAACCTTCTTCTTATTTAAAATTTTATTTTAAAACGATTATATTACTAAAGTATTATGATGTTAGAGCTTTTATTTCCTTGGTAATTGGGATTTTTCGGTGTCAGAAATTGCAAGTAATGTATTTTTTAGAAAATATTTACAATTAAAGGGTGTTTTATAGAAGTTTAGAACTTTAGAATGAAATAAAACAAAGATGATTCTTATAAATTGACATGAAATCGACTTTATTCGAAAGACAATCTTTTGGCATTATAATTTTAATATGTTTTCTGGCATATGATCGTCATGGCTGATTCTGACGTAGTCTAATCTGAGGGTCCAATTTTTGATCACATTTTCCAATATTTGTCGCCGTATATAGGTAGAACGTGTCTCTGGGCTGAACCCTTGGGAATTGAGGAAAGAGGTCCAGTCGCACTATAGGGCGCTTAAGCTAGCGGGGACAAATGAGCGGAATCCAATTTAACCTACGTAATATTCTTTCACTTATTTTTCACTAATTTATTGCCACCCTAATAATTTTTCACCACCAAACCACCCTTAATGGGAGCGATTCTGCTGGCTTAAGGTTTAAGCTAGCAGAATTAAGAAAAAAAACTTTTTACCGATAGCATATTTTTTAACTATTTTTCACTTTTGATAATGGCACGAATTGACAAGGTAGAAGAACACCTAAGTCTTCAAAAGTAGCCTCGATACGGCTATGTACCGAGTCGCCTTCTGTGTATGTGTGGCCAACTTCTAAATATTTATGAGTGATAGTCACTCCTGACATCGTGCTCAAATGTAAGAGCACATTTGTACAAACTGAGTTTCTATTTTGATAGTTATACTCGTCCGAGTATATCACCCTTGATTTAAGAGAGATTTTTAAAAGTTATGATGTATAATTCACTAAAAAAGAAGCAAAGGTTGAAGCACTAAGGTTACTGTTGGTTTCGTCAAATCAATACGCTATAACATCGTAGGTTGCCAAGTTATATACATTGTATAATTGTGGACAGTTAATTTTAACTTGTAATATGCTGCGCTGGCCCTAATAAATGGTATGGTTTGGTCTTTCATAAGGTCACAGCAAATTGTTTGACATTCTCTATTCACGTCCTTCTTTTTGTCTTCAGTTTTGTCATTTTGAGCTTTTTTTTCGAGCTCTGTGCTTCAAATACTCTTCTTCTGTGATATTGTTACAATTATAAGCATAGCACTTTTCACACATGTCTGTTCGTGGAACATAAATGGCAATATTCATGTTTTTTAGAGAATTCCTAAACTGAGCTCTGCTTACATGTTCAACATTTTTCTATGTACATTGTTTAACATAAATCTCATGAAGATAAGTAATACAAGTCCTAATATCTGTCTGTAAATATTGCTTTTTAGAATTTTTGCGGCAATAATGTGAAGGAAGTTTTAGTAGTTTGGATAAAAAGGGTTCCAAATATAACTGCCTATTACTTACTTGCCAATGACTTACGTCATTTATTTGTAAGTTATTTTCAACGTCATTAAAGATGTCTTGAAATGGCTCTGGCTCAACCCTGTCACTATTTCTACTCTTATGATCTTTACTAAGCCAATGACGCAGTTCATCTTCAGTTTATCCTAATGTAGACAGAAACATATTCCTGCAAACAGAAATTTTTTTGTTGTCAGTTTTAAGAAAATAAAAAGGGATAGGTACCTTTCTTCTAGAGTATGGTCCTCCCCTGATACGTTTTGGGTTTTTCTTTTCAACTAAAGTACGAACGTACATTTTTTAACTGTCCCAAGACCAAGACCAAAATAATTCGAAAAGTTATTTTCTCTTCTCATCAGATATAGAGTAACACTTCCTGGTTAATTTATATCTTCCACTACCCTGAAGATTACAACGAACTCCCATTTGCCTTGCTCCACGCTTGACAACTTGGACAAGTTTTTTTGTAGACTTTTGTCTAACCTATGGAATCCGACATATTCTTTTCCTTTTCTTCTCGGTTATTGCGAGCTGTTAAATATTTTTTGGTTGAAGAGACATATTTAGACTTCTTTTGTTCAATATTGTTCTCTGCATTATCTATATTATTGGTATTAGGTAATGTTTGTATAATATTTGAGTAAACCTCTGATGTTTCAGCGAAGAGAGAATTTACATTCATTATCTCAGAATCAGCTGACGAATTGACTTCTTTTTTTAAACTAGTATTTCTGGCCATGTAAACAAACTCAGCATTCAATATATCTTTAACGTATTGATTTAAGTTAGTACTATCATTGCAAAGCAATGGTATAATTCCGAAGCAGTCTGACGTCTGTTAAGAAATATTATCCTTGCTGACTTCTAATAAATCAACATCATTTGTATTGAGATGGAGATTATTATTACCCTGTGAGGAGAATTGATATTCGTCTCTCTTTAGGCTGCTATTACTTGTGCGTCTGGGGGTAGCTAAGAGTTTAAGCTAAGTAAGCTGATTATAAGTCTGCAAACATTCCAGTAGTTCATTGAAATCATACAAATTGTCTTCATCCGAAACTGAGTTGTTCACTTCCACTAGATTCATCCGAAACTGGGTTGTAATCACTTCCACTAGACATCTTTTACCACAAGATATTTCAATGTTCTGTAAAGACAAAAAAGAATAAAAATATAGCTAGAGATTTAATATGAATAATACACAATAATTAATTTAAAAACCAATCAATCAAACTAACTATAATATTTCTTCATCTCTAATGTACCATACAACACACTGTATAATTTAGATTTTGTTTAACTGCCAGTAACGTCGTACTGTGTTAAACAAACAACATACCCATACCTGATGATGATGATATAAGAGTTGAGTATCTTCTTCTTCGGGTTCCTTCTTCTAGCGGAGGTTGGAAATCATCATCGCTATTTTAACTTTGTTGGCCGCATTTCTGAATAATTCTAATGAGCTGCAGCCGAACCACTCTCTCAAATTTCTTAGCCAGGACATTTTGCGTCGTCCTGGGTTTCTCTTCCCTTGTATCTTCCCTTGCATAATCAACCTCAGTAATACGTACTTCTCACCCCTCATTAAATGTCCCAGATATTGAATCTTTCTAATTTTAACAGTTTTTATGACTTCACATTCTTTCTTCATTCTTTGTAACACCTCTATATTAGTTACTTTTTCAATCCACGATATTTTATGCATTCTCCTGTAGCACCACATCTCAAAGGAGTTTAATTTTTTGATTTCAGACTGCTTTATTGTCCACGCTTCCATGCCATATAGTAAAGTAGAGAAGACGTAACAACGTAGCATTCTTGTGCGAATCTCTAGATTAAGGTTACGGTTGCAAAGTAATTTCTTCAATTTTATGAACGTGTTTCTTGCCATTTCTATTCTAGATCTGATCTCCTTAACTTGATCTCCATCTTTGGTTAGCCACGTTCCTAAATATTTATATGTTTTTACTCTTTCTATCGTTGTATTATTGATGATCAGGTTATTTACATTTTGTGGTTTTTTTGAGAATATCATTGATTTCGTTTTCTTGAGATTCATTTGCAGTCCGTAACTTTCACATGCATTGTATACATGTTGTATTATGTACTGTAGATCTTCCATGTCACTTGCAAATATGACAGTATCGTCGGCATATCTAATATTATTAATGCTATTTCCGTTGACATAAATACCTTCCACGATATCCAATAAAGCCTCTTGAAAAATCACTTCACTGTAGACGTTGAATAAGAGTGGTGAAAGGATACACCCTTGTCGAACTCCTCTAAGTATACTTACTTCCTCTGTCAGTTCTCCTTCGACTCTTACTCTTGCTTTCTGGTTTTGATACAGATTCGATATAATTTGTAGATCTCTACTATCAATGTTTTTAGTCTTAAGAATACTTAAAAGCTTCTCATGTTGAACTCTATCAAAAGCTTTCTTGAAATCTATAAAGCAAGCATATATGTCCTGATTCATATCCAGGCATCGTTGTGTCAGAACATGGACTCCAAATAATGCTTCTCTAGTTCCTAGACCCTTTCTGAAACCCATCTGTGAATCACTTATTTCTTGTTCTAATTTCATGTGGATTCTGTTATGTATGATTTTAAGGAAGGTTTTCAATGTGTGGCTCATTAACGCAATTGTTCGATAGTCATTGCAATCTTTAGCATTTGTGAGTTTTGGAATCGTCACAAAAGTTGAGAGAAGCCACTCTTTGGGTATGTGTCCCGTCTTGTATATGGAGTTAAAAAGGTCTACCAAGACATCAATATTATCTTCATTAATTATCTTCAATAGTTCAATTGGTATTTCATAGGGTCCTGGAGCTTTTCTGTCTTTTGTGTGTTTTATAGCATACATAACTTCCTCTTTCATTATTTCTGGTCCCGTGGTTTCTCCGTTAACTTCTAATAATTGTTCTACTTTTTGATCATAAAATAGTTGTTCAATGTATTCTTTCCATCTACGTAGTTTGTCTTGCGTTTTAGTTATAGTGGTACCATCTGCATTTTTTAATATCCCGATTGGTTTGTTACGATTTCCTGAAATCATTTCTTTAACCTTCTTCTGGGTGTTGAAAGTGTCATACCTTGCCTCACATTCCTCGATTTCTTGACATTTAATGGACATCCATGTTTCCTTAGCTTGTATTATTTTCTGTTTTATTTGTTTATTAATTTCTTGATATTTAATTTTATCTTTGTTTTTACGTGTTCTTCTTTCGTCCATCTTTTCGAGAATTTCTTGTGTCATCCATTCTTGTTTGGCAGCTTTTGTAAATGTTAAAGTTTTCCGTCCCACAGTCTCGATTGCGTTCTTTATATTCTTCCACTTTGTGTCAATATCTGTAGTGTTCTTATTTTGTTGTTTTATTTCTTGGATACTCTGATTTATTTTGTTTTGAGTTTCTTGGTATGTATTTGGTTCTCTTAACTTATCAATGCATATTTGTGGTCTAGATCTTTTCATTAATGGTTTTCTCAATCTTACATTCATATTTGCTACTACTGGGTTGTGGTCCGAGTTTACATCTGCTCCAGGGTAAGTCTTCACTACTGTAATAGAGTTCTTGTACCTGTTCCTTATCAAGATGTAA